CGCACTCACACGTTGCGTGGAACCAGGGGGAGCTGGAGCTCCACCGAAGGCTCCAGCGGCAGGGTCAGCATCCGTACTCGGGTCCATCTGGGCACACCCCTCACACGTTTCGTGGCCTCATAGGGAGGTCCACCGAAGGCTCCAGTAGCAGGGTCCGCGGGCCGCATGCGTCTTCGGGTCCACCTCGGCGAACACCTCACACGCTTCGTGGCCTCATACGGAGCTCCACCGAAGGCTCCAGTGGCAGGGTCCGCATGCGTAGTCGGGTCCATTTGGGCATACCCTCACACGTTTCGGGGCCCCATAGGGAGCTCCACCGAAGGCTCCAGTGGCAGGCCCCGCACGCGTATTCGGGGCCGCTTCGGCGAACACCTCACACGTTCCGTGGCCCCATAGGGAGCTCCACCGAAGGCTCAAGATGCAGGGTCAGCATGTGTACTCGGGTCCATTTGGGCACACCCTCACACGATTATCGGCCCCATAAGGAGCTCCACCGAAGGCTCCAGTGGCAGGCTCCGCATGCGTACTCGGGACCATTTGGGTACACCTCTCACACGTTTCGTGGCCCCATAGGACGCTCCACCGAAGGCTCCAGTAACAGGGTCCGCATGCGTATTCGGGTCCACTCGGGCACACCCCTCACACGTTTCGTGGCCCCAGAAGGAGCTCCACCGGAGGCTCCAGTGGCAGGCCCCGCACGCGTATTCGGGGCCGCTTCGGCGAACACTTCACACGTTTCGTGGCCCCATAGGGAGCTCCACCGAAGGCTCCAGCGGCAGGGTCCGCATGCGTACTCGGGTCCAGTTCGGCGCGCCCCCCGCACCCCAACGAGCTCTTGTGCATCAGGCGGTCCTGTTGATAGTTGCCACGCACGTAGAAGGGGTTGGGTTCTTCGCCAGGGCATTTTTTTGACAGGGGTGGTAGGCTCGCGCGCAGCAAGCAGTATGAGGGCACCCGCGCCGTCCCTATCAACAACCAATGCTAAGTGATCGCGGGGCGCCCGCGCATGTTCCAGATTTGGAGGCAAAGTGTATGTTGCGGATTTTCCAAACCATCCTGTGGTGTTGGGTCCTCGCTTTGAAGAGACGGAACCCCCCCCGTCCCTCCTCCGCTCCTCCCCAATTCCTTCTCCCCTCCCTGCCTCGGCCCTCCGCATGCACATTTCGGCACACCCCTCATACGTTTCGTGGCCCCACGGGGAGCTCCACCGAAGCCCTCAGTGGCGGTTCTCGCACGCGCCCCCCCGCGCCCACTTCGGTACATCCCTCACACGCTTCGTGGCTCCATGGGGAATTCCGACGAAGGCCTCAGTGACGGTTCTCGCATGCTCGCATGCGTCCCCAGCATTAACTTCGGTATATCCTTCACACGTTTCGTGGCCACATAGGGAGTTCCATCGAAAGCCCGCGTGCCAGTTCGCGCATGCGTCCCCCGCCCCCGCTACATCATACCCGTCACACGTTTCGTGGCCCCATGGGGAATTCGACCGAAGGCTCCACTGGCACTTCTCGCATGCGTCCCCCGCACAAATTCCGGCACAACCCTCACACGCTTCGTGGCCCCATAGGGAGCTCCACCGAAGGCCCAAAAGGCGGTTCTCGCATGCGTCCCCCGTACTCATCACGGCACACACTTCACATGTTTCGTGGCCCCATGGGGAGCCCCACCGAAGATCCCAGTGGCGGTTGTCGCATGCGTCCCCGCCCGTGTTGGCACACCCTTCACACGTGTTTCGTGGCACCATAGGAAGCTCCACCGAAGGCCCTAGTGGCGGTTTTCGCACGCGTCCCTCGCAACCATATCTGTGCTTTCCTCACACGTTTCGTGGCCCCACAGGGAGCTCCACCGAAGTCCTCAGTGGTGGTTCTCGCATGCGTCCCCCGCACCCATTACGCATCTTTCATTTTCCGTGACCCTATAAGGAGCTCAACCGAAGGCTTCAGTGGTGGTTTTCGCATGCGTCCTCCGCACCCATGTCGGCACACCCCCTACACGTTTCGTGACCCAACACGGAGCTCCCGCCGAAGACGATGCTTACAATTGCATCATTCACCATTCCATATGGTTGTGTCATTCGGGAGGCTGATTTGAAAGGGATGGTGAAGGGGGGGCCCTCGTGGGTGCCCTCATCGGTCTGGGTTGGTTGCCGGTCGGGTTGGGGGGAGAGGTGCTCATGAATAGGGGACGGTTATCTACTCCTTCCCGAAGGGGAAGAGGGAATGGCAGAGGAAACTACAGTGCCGTTTTTGGTACATGCTCCGCGTGCGGATCATGCATAAAAAATGCAGGGATTTAGCATTCGCAAAACGATGAGTTCATGCATGCATTTATCCATAAGCTAATCATGTACTAGAAATCCTATATTTTAAAAATCCAATGTTTCAAAAACTGCCCTGTATCTAAACCACCTCCGCCCAGGGGGTCTGTGGGATTCTGGTCAGGACGCACCCCTGGAGAGGTCCAGGGAGTGGCGGCAGCGGTACTTTTTCGGCTTCCCCAGAGGAGGCCTTCCGGTGGTCTTTGAGCCTCATATCGCGCATCCTGACGCGCGTGATCACAGAGGGCTCCACCATCGTCATGAAGGCCATCAACGAGAACAGCGCCAAGAAGCTGCGGAAGGCCATAGGCTGCGCCCCGCGCGGCAAGCGCACGGCGTGGATGCTCAACATCCAGGTCGGGACCCAATCGATCTCGCCGTTTTTGTGGGCGATTGAGACGGGCAGCCTGGAGGCCGCCAGGGCGATCATCCAGGACCTCCTCACGATCAGGGCGGACCGCGACCGCTACTACTACGGGATGGACGCCCTGTTCGAGCGCCACGAGGACGTCGTCAGGCGCCTCTGCGTCGAGGCGCCAGCTCTGGTGCCGGTGCTGCTGGACGGGCTGGTGTGGCGCTCGCGCTTCACTGAGGGCGGAACCCGGCGCGTGAACTACTACATCAAGCACCTGGTCGCGGACAGCAGCGGGGGGTTCTCGAAGGCAGTGGAGTGGATCACGGACACTGGTGACCCCAAGCTTGTGTCCCACCCGATCGTGGCGATGGTGGTGGACACGATCTGGAACCACGTTGCGTTCCAGACCTTCCTTCTCAACAAGTCGTGGGTGATCTTCACGACATGCGTGTTCGTCGTCGGCTCGGGTGGGCTCAGGCACTCGGGCGAGGCATCACGGTACTTGGTGGCCGCCTGCCGTGGTTTGACATACGGGTTGAGTCTGGGACAGTGGATGTACCACCACGTGGTGAGCACATGCAAGGACGTACGCGGGAGGAGGTTCGCCAAGATCGGCATCGTGACCGTTCCGGCCTACCTGGACAATTTCCAAGATTGTGCAAGCTTGCTCTTGACAGCGCTACTCTTGGCGATGCTCGTGATTGAGCCAGTTCTGCATTGCTTGCCACACTGGGACGGCGAGTTTGAAGGTTCGGGTGTGTTCACAGATCAGTGCCCTCAGGTAGAACCATTGCACCTCATCTATTCTCAGTTGAGTGCGATCGCTACCATCTTGTTTTTCGGCCTCATAGTCGAACTCTCGGTATTCTCTACCAGGGTGTCCGCGTTCGTTTTGGTCTGCTATCGCGTGCTCTCAGAGGTGTTATTGTTCTTGCTCGGATGGGCGTTTGTGATCCTGACGTGGAGTTGTGCCGTCAGCGCACTGGACCAAAACCACATGGATTTCGAGGACATCCCGTCGTCCGCGATGTCATTGGTGAAAATCACGCTCGGCATGTACGGCGGTGAGGCGTACCTCATGCTGCAGCAAGAACCATCGCTTATGTTCGCAGTCATCGCCTACGTAATTGTGAGCGGAGTCTTCTTACTTAACTTGCTCGTTGCGCAGCTCAACTCTTCCTACCAGGCGACCTTCCACGACATGCTCGGCTACGCGCGCCTGAATCGTGGCAAAATCGTGGCCGACGCCATGTTGGTCGTCACGGAGAGCCGCTGGAGAAGGTTCGTCAATAGTTTGAAATTGGACGAGCGGATTGAGTTTGGGGAGGGCGACATCGGCTTGGCTGGGGGCATCCAGGTTCTCGAGCCCGCCAATGCGAATATCACAACCGTCGACACTATCCACCGCTTCGGCGGCTCAACGTCGGTACTAGCACAGTGGCCCGAGGACGGACTGCACGCGAGCGACGACGTGGACCGCTTCAAGCGGATGGAGAAAATGATCGCGAAGGCTTGGAGCTGGCTGGGGGGCTGGGGTGGCCCAGAATTGGTTCCAGCCAGAAGAGGGGAGGAGAAAGGAGCCTCCCCGTCGCCACGTTAGGACGCGGCTCGAGAAACCGGCCAGCTTCGGCCCCGGGAGGGTCCAGGGACAGCTTTTGATTTGATTTGCCCTCGGCCCCCCCCTCTTGACTGATTTTCTCGGGGCCCATCCGGCGCAGATCCCCGGGCCCCTTCCAATCGAAGGCCATGAAGCGAATGGGCAGCAAAGGCGGCACCAGGAAGGGTGGCAGGTCCTCCACTGGCGGTTCTTCGGGGGGCCTTTCGCTTTCGCTCGGCTCCAGCGGCGCCGGCACCAGCAGCGGGGGCGACACGAGCGACGGCAAGGACAGCGAGCACGGCGACGACCTGGAGGGCAGCTGACGGTGCTGAGGACTGGCCAGGTTTGCGCACGATCTCCTCCTTTCCCTTGCCGGTCTCATGCTCATGCTCCTCCTCCTCCTCATCCTCCTCACCGACCTCTTCCTCCTCCTCGTTTCCTTATCCTTCTCGACGCCTACGTCCTGGGAGGAGGGGAGGACGAGGGAGGGCACGCGCGTTGATTGGCCAGGTGTTCGGTGTGCGCACGATCTCTACAAAACTCCTCAACAACGCCTTCCATGCAGCATCTTGTTCGGAGTAGCTGTGGTTCAGAGGATTCGTGATAACGATACACTGTTTTCCACAAGGGCTTCAGAAACGAGGGCAGCTAGACACTCTGGAAATTCTGGAACGCATCCTGAGCCAATCCCACCATGACGGTCTCGTCCTAGTGGTGGCGTCGAACTCGCTCTGAACCCGCAGAGCTGAGCCCTGCTGCTCGAGGGGGGCGCATGTCACCCCCTGGCGCCCCGAGTAGCGATACAGTCAACCATGATAGTAAGGATGGGGCAACTTTCCAAGGCTACCCTTGCATCCTTGCCCCTTCGGTATTCGGCATCCTTCGGCATTCTGCTGCGCTCCGCACGGAAAACGTCAGCATGGCGTTCCAAGGCCCTTGCATCCTTACCGGGCATCCACACTATCCTGGTCGAGTGTGCTCTGCTGGTCCCGCGTCTTGGTGTGAGCCCTCCCGTGTCGTGTGCCCTGCCGCTGCCGCAACTGAAGCGCCGTGTCTGCCACGAGTGCGTGTCCACACGTGCCGCGTCTGCCTATGATGCCGGAGGTGCGCACGACGCGGCCGGCCCGGCGACAGGCTGGAGAAGGACGTATGGCCGCCTGTCTCTCCAGCGCGCGGCCCCTCGCATGGCCAGGCGCGGTGATCCTCCACATTGAAGTCGGGCCTGTCCCTCTGCAGGGGGAATATTCAGAAATAGTCAAAAAATAGTCTGGGGGCTGTTTGTGGTGTATATTTTTTTTTGCAAGTTTTGGAGTATGTTTGGAGTCTGTTTCATTTTTTCGTCGAAGATCCCCCTGCAGGGGGACACGCCCGACTTAACTCTACATGTGTATCCAGCGCGCAGCCTCCGGGTGTTTCACATGCCAGCCCAGCAATGTGTATTTCCAGCTTCCTGGTACGACAGTCTATTCCTCCAGCCGCTAAGCGACGGCTGGTTGCACCACAAGGGCTGGCCGAGTTGTTTTTTGTATCCGCAGGGATCCGCGTCAGACCGGGGGCGCACAAGCTGCCGCCGGGGGAAGTATGTCCCGTTCGCAGATTCCTCATCCTCTCCGAGTTCTCGCCCCCCCCCCGTCTTTTTCGGGCCGGACGAAAGGGGGGATTGGGAAAGGGGGGGGTACGAAATTTGCTGCTCGCAGCTGGTTTCGGCCTCACCGAGGGGCCCATTCCTCGATACATGGGCGCCTCTCGGCGCCGGGAGGCGCCGGGAAACTCAGCTACGTGAGCTGATTCTCAAACCCCCCCTTTGCTATCCCCCCCTTTCGCCCGACCCGACTTTTGTCATTAGATCTGGCTTAGCGTGCCTGTTCGCTTGTCCAGGTAGCCATCAGCACAGCAAGGGATCGCAAGGCAAGCCTCGACATGGCCTCGCACACCAGGCCTGGACGAGCGAATGGTCGCTACAGACCGCCTTGTAGGCGGAAGGCTCTGCCTTCTAATGGAAAGATGGGAGCGCAGCCAGATGGTTGCGACAGATTTTGACACCTGAAGGCGTTCGGCCACTGCCGCCGGCCCCCCTTGCTCCAGGCATCGAAGGACCCCTCGTCGCACTCCTCTTCGTCGTCGTCGACCTCCCGCTCTTTCAGTTCCTCCACCACCTGGCCGCCCCAGGGCCCTTCCCTGTCCAGGAGGGCTTCGGGGGCTTGGGGGGAGACTTTCGAAAGGGGGAGCATGCCTGACCAGTTACATTCAGTCTTCTACAACACCGCAAATACATGGAAGCCCATGTAGCATGATCTCTCCAGCCTGGAGTCCCCACAAGGGGGCAGGCGCATATTCTGTGTCTCTTTCGGGGCCAATGTTGCTTCGGGGCGACATGTTCGTGTGGCGTTTATTATCGTTTCATCCAAGTGTTTCACTTGGCGACGCCATGGCCACAGGGCCACGACTACATGTTTCAAGGGAATCATCATATTGTAACCGCTTCTGTCCCTGATAAGCGGTGCGACCACGGGGACTGCCTCGTGACGGCATCTGCTAGATTAGCGGGTTCAAATTTGATGCCTCTCTCTGTACAGTATTCGCCCCTTGGTGTTCAGCTACGGGGGTCGACGGCTAGCCAGGGAGCAACAAGTGTGACACAGTTTCGATTGACGTGTGACGTGTGACAGACATATTTTAGACGCTTCGCGTAACCCCACCAGGCATGAGGGATGTGGAGGAGCATGCAGTGGAATTCAAGGGCTGGGAAAGAGGCCGTGCCCCAAGAGGTACCCCAAGAGGGGGAGGATGAAGGAGGAAGAGGAGGAGGGGGAGAAGGAGGAGGAGGAGGAGGAGGTGGAGTTGGGGAATGGGGGGAGGGGGGGAGGAGGAGGAACAGGCGGATGAGGAAGAGGAGGAGGAGGAGGAGGAGAATGAGGCCGAGCAGAATGCACTGAGGCCTCTTGGATGTCCGAACCTCTCCCGTATCGACAGTTTTGTGGGGTCCTCTTGGGCGTCTCGGGGGTCTCTTGGCGGTCCCAGGGGCCTCGTGGAGCGTCTGGGCCCTCTGGGGGTATCGTGGGAGCCTCTTGGGGACCTCTTTCCTTCTTGGGGTCGTCTTGAGGCACCCTTTGGGGCCATCTTGGGGCCATCGTGGATAAGATCGATCAACAAAAGGGCTGGTAGTTAATTTGAGCCCCCCCCCAGGAGGCCAGCTTGTGCCCCAAACCTTGGTAAGATCAGTGATGCGTGCCTTCTCGACGAGGCCTTCTTGGACGATCTAATGGGTCGCGGGGCGCCCCGTCCAGGTCCAGGGGACAGGGTAGGAAGAGTGGTCAGGGCCCCCTCAGAGATAGCAAGCCGTCTAGCTCACTCCTACCCGCCCTCCCCACACATAAGTAACACCCGAGCCTCAGCATGTTCAGCGGCCGTCTTTGGTTGGGCAGCTACTGGGAACCAAAACCGACCTCATGCTTGCAACGCTGGGGCGAGGCGCGCCATGCGTGCCAGGCGCGCTGGTGCGCCAGACGCGCCACGTGCTCCACGTGCGCCATGTGTGCCGCATACTCCAGCCGGGCCAGGTGCGCCAGGTTCGGTGTATCAGGTGCGCCTGCGCACGCGACAGAGCACATTAGGAAACATGTCGGCCCCCACCATCCTTGTCGAAAACCCATGCCCGCCCACCATGGCGTCTGGTGGGCTTGCGCACAGCAGGCCATACGCTACAACCCCCGCCGTCCCTGCCAAAACCGCTTGACAGTGATCGCGGGGTGGCCGCGCATGATCCAGATTTGCCCGCGAGGTGCATTTTGTATTGTTCTTTGATCGTGGCGGTGGCCCTGCGCACAGCCGGCATTATGCTGACCCCCCCGACGTCCTTATCACAAAACCATACAAAGTTTTCGCGGGCCTCACGAACATGTATCAAGTTGTTTTGCCCCAAAGCGTACTTTGTAATGTTCTTTGACAGGGATGGTGGGGGTGGGGGGCGTATCGGGTTGGGTGCGCATGTTCCGAGTTTGGAGGCGGAGTGTGTATTGTATTGTTTTATGACAGGGATGTCTGGGGGGTGGGGATCATAGGATCAGCATTGTTCCTGGTTGGCTGCCGGTCGCCTAGGGGATGGTGTGTATATCAATAAGGGACAGTGATTCACCCCTCCCCAGAGGGGAAGAAGGGGGTTAAAAGAGGAAATCAGATAAACCACTCACGCCCTAAAGGGCTGGCGGGATTCACGTATTGTCTCACGCTTGCTCCATGATTGCATGTGTACAGCTAGGATGGGAGGAGCTGGTGGTACACGAGCTGCCGCCAGTTGGCTGTTCCTCCTCGTCCTCCGTGCCTTTCGCTGTCGCTCAGCCTGCTCCCTTGTCTTCTGGCAGCGTTTGGTTGCCGCAAGCTGCGTCTTTCGTGGGAATGACGTTCACAGGGGTCTCCCCTCAAAGCAAGAGACCCCTGAAAGTGCCCACGTGCATCAATCATCCCTCCGTCTCGGCCCCCCCGTTTTCCTCTTCCCGTGCATGCTTAGTGAATCGCGCTGTTGCGACTCGAGTGTCTCATCCAGCTTGCGCCGCGCGCGTTCTGCCCTACGTGCTGTGTAGGCTGCACGCCGGGCCGCCTGCCCGAACGACAGATGCTCGCCGGGTCGCCTATCTCCATGAGTAGCCGATCCGCGGCCGTCGCACGGTCCAGATGGTGGAGCCCGCCCACAAAACATCCTCTGCTACAGTCAAGCAGTGGCGAGGCGTCCTGGCTGGCCTGTAGGCCCACCAGCGCATGTGCTACGGACCTTTTGCGATTTGCAAGGAAAACTCTTGGAACCTTTTCTGGCCGACATGGTCTTGTTTTTAGCACATCGGGTTCACAGTGCCGTTCTTAATGCATGCTCCGCGTGCGGATCATGTATTAAGAATGCAGGGGTTTAGTATCAAAAGCAACGAGGAGTTCATGCAGACAGTTATTCATACATGAATCATGTATTAAAATCCAATGTTTTTTTAAAACATGCCAAATGTATATAAACATTGCCCTGCATGTTCTAAGAGCACTGCTCCTGTTCTTGGAGCATGCTGGGGGTTCTAAGAGCAGTCCGTGGTAGGCCTACAGGAATGCCGGGGCGGTCGGTCCCTGCTCGATCCAGGGGCTGCGGGGAACAGGGCAGGGTCGAGCCCGGGCGAGTGTCGCCGCCCCCCTCTGCCACCCTCCCCGGGCCCCTTCTACCCCCCTCTTACCTCCTCCTCCTCCTCCTCCTCCTCCTCCTCCTCCTCCTCCTCCTCCTCCCCCTCCTCCTCCTCCTCCTCTCTGGACGCCCGACATGGGTACGGAAAGAATTGTACGATGCCCA